ATGCGAGAAACATTGTATTCAATCATGTGCGGAACGTCATACAAGAATATGACGGTGTAAAAATAAACACAATGTTCAACGGTGAGTTTGTGGCGGGCGATAAACGCGCAAATAAAAGTGTCAATACGAAAAACTGTGAACTCTTTCGCGAGTCCGATTTGGAAGCGTGGTATAACTTGCGCGTTATCGAGCCCACTTTAGCAACGCTGGAGGAATTCCAGGAACGTGATAGCGGGTGGGCGTTATTACGTATACAGAATTTAATGCTAAATATAAACAAATATAATCCATTGCACGCGGGGTGTTACATCGATTTACCGAAAGAAATTAAATTAAAGAAAGCGGTGATTAACGTGCAATCTACGGACAATGCATGTTTCGCGTGGTCGGTGGTCGCCGCGCTGTATCCAGTCGTGGAACATACATATAGAAAATCTTCATACCCTTCATATAAAACAGCATTAAATTTACAAGGCATCGAATTTCCAATGTCGTTGCGTCAAATTAAAAAATTTGAAGATCTCAACGGCATTTCAATCAACGTATATGCCATCCAGAAAAAAAACAAGAAACTTGCTATCCTGCCAATACGGCTCACCGATCGAAAGATAAACAACAAACACATAAATTTGTTGTACGTGGAAGATCCGCAAGATGCTAACGTAGGACATTTCGCCTGGATAAAAAATTTATCGCGTCTCGTTAGCTCGCAATTGAGCACACACCATAGCCGGAAATACTTTTGCGATCGGTGAGTATACATCCTAATAAAAATAAAAATAATTTTTTATGTAAAAAGATATATAAAAAAAAATTTCATTATTTACAGATGTTTGCACTATTTCTACACGAACGAGAAATTGGAAGCCCACATCATCGACTGTCGGGAGATGAACGACTGCGCGGTCAAGTTACCGAGTGATAACGACAAGTGGTTGCAATTCAACAACTACGGCAGGAAAGAACGAGTTCCGTTGATCGTATACGCCGACCTGGAATGTACCCTGGAGAAGACGGCAGCGGATCCTGAAACGTCCGGCATATACCAACACCATAAGGTATTTAGCGTCGGGTATTACGTGCATTGCTCATACGACGACTCATTATCCGCGTATTGATTTCGTCGCGATAATGACTGCGTTGCGTGGTTCGTCGAGGAACTCAAAGGATTGGCGCATCGCGTAAAGAACATCTTGTCCGACAATGAACCCATGGCGAATTTCACGCGAGACGAGTGGAAAAAATTTAACAGTGCGACGCAATGTCACGTGTGCGAGAAACCGTTCGCGCCAGACGACACGCGGGTACGCGATCACTATCATTTAACCGGTAGGTATCGAGGTCCCGCACATTCGACATGCAATTTGAATTATAAGGATTCTCACTTCATCCCAGTAATATTCCACAATCTGTCGGGCTATGACGCGCATTTCATTATCAAGGAGATAGCTACCGCGTTCGAAGGCAAAATCGATGTACTGCCTATAACAAAGGAAAAGTACATCTCATTTACTAAACACGTGAAAGACACCACGAAAAGATCTGATTCGCAAAACAATATAAAGTTAAGATTTATCGACTCGTATAAATTTCTGAGCGCAAGTCTCGCAAAATTGTCATCTTTCCTAGATAATGATAAATTAAAAATTATACGTTCAAAATTTTCCACGTTATCCGACAACGATTTTGAATTATTGACGCGAAAAGGTGTCTTTCCGTATGAGTACATTGACTGCGTCGAAAAGCTGGAGGATAAATGTTTACCACCGCGCGATTCATTTTACAGTTCTTTGACCGGTGACACCGTATCCAAGAGCGATTACGCTCACGCCGTGAACGTCTGGCAACGGTTCTCCATTCAAACCTTGGGTGAATACAGCGATCTATACCTGAAAACCGATGTCTTGTTATTGGCTGACGTGTTTGAAAATTTTCGCGATAGCTGCGTCGCGAGTTACGGACTCGATCCAGCGCATTATTACACTCTACCGGGTTTCACGTGGGACGCTATGTTAAAACATACACGCATTAATTTCGAACTGCTCACAGACATTGATATGATAATGTTTATCGAACGTGGTATTCGCGGCGGTCTCAGTCAATGTTCCGGTAGATACGCGCAAGCTAATAACAAGTACATGCAATCTCACGATCAGTCGAAACCATCGTCGTACCTGATGTATTTCGATGTAAACAACTTGTACGGCTGGGCGATGTGTGAGCCATTGCCCTACGCAGATTTTCGATGGGTCAACAACATCTCGAACTTTGACGTGAACGCGATCGCTTCGGATTCACCCACAGGTTATATTCTCGAAGTCGATCTCGAGTATCCACAGTGTCTGCATAATACGCACGCTGATCTACCGTTCTGTCCGACGAGCGATAAGCCGCCCGGCAAACGAGAGAACAAACTTCTCGCGACTTTATACAATAAGGAGCGTTACGTCATTCATTATCGCAACTTACAGCAGTGCACGCGCCATGGTCTTCGCGTCACAAAGATACATCGCGTATTGCAATTCACTCAATCTGCGTGGCTCCGCGCTTACATCGAACTCAATACAAAATTTAGAACACTAGCCAAAAACGATTTCGAAAAAAATTTGTATAAATTAATGAACAACGCTGTATTCGGTAAAACTATGGAGAATGTGCGCAATCACGTCGATGTAAGATTATTAACATACTGGGACGGACGATACGGTGCGGAGACAATGATCGCGAAACCAAACTTTCACAGCAGGAGCGTGTTTTCGGAGAATCTAGTAGCAATAGAAATGCGAAAACTCGAGGTGAAGTTCAACAAACCAATCTACGTGGGTATGTGCATCCTCGATATATCCAAGACATGTTTGTATAAATTTCATCACGAGTACATGTTACCGTTGTATCGCGACAAATGTAAAATTATGTACACCGATACGGACAGCCTTATATACCACATCGAGTGCGACGACGTGTACGAGACGATGAAACGCGACATCGACAGATTTGACACAAGCGATTATCCGGTAAATAACGCGTACGGTATACCACTTGTAAACAAGAAGGTGCCGGGCTTAATGAAAGACGAAAACAATGGCGCGATCATGACAGAATTCGTTGGACTCAGAGCGAAGATGTATGCGTTGAAGGTAGATGGTAAAAAAGACACTAAAAAAGCAAAAGGTGTCAAGAGTAACGTCGTAGCGCGTACTATAACGTTCGACGATTACACGCGGTGTCTGAAGGATACAATTGAAATGACGCGACAGCAGTTCTCTATAAGATCAAATATGCATGATGTGAACACCATCCGCGAGACGAAGATCGCTCTGAGTCCGTACGACGATAAGCGATACATTATACCCGATTCGATCGATACGTTACCGTGGGGACATTATCAAATACTCCCTCCGAAAACGTAGTGTATTGTATGCATAAAATGTAATAGTATAACGTAATGTATGTACGTATGTATGTATAGTAACGTAACGTAATGTAACATAAAGTAAGGTAATGTAACGTATATTATATTGTTGGAAGGGATATTAATAAAAATATTGTACATGTATCTATATTTAATATTTTTTACATAGTTTATTTTTCATATGTTTTTAAAATACTATCTGCATGAATTAAATAACATTGTCCTTGTGTATCCATGAGTTGTGCGATCCATCGAATCCCAGCCATTTCACGTAGACCTCGTCTCCCCTCCTGCGCAGTACTTTTTCCACGAGATACGTGTCCGGGTAAGCCGCGCGATGTAATTCATGCTCGTAGAACGCTCCAGTGATAGATTTTCCGCGATAGTCCTCCAGCAGATAGGTTGCAGGATTAGTGTGTTGCACTTTAACGATCTTAAACACCTCGGTGCTCCAATTTGGCGTGTAACCCTTCTCGAAAATTGTCTTGTGCTTGCTAACGCGTACCCGATCGCCTACTTTAAACTTTGTCAAACCTGCGATCTTGATCACGCTGTACACCGTGGTTAAGAGTCTTTCAGCGATTGCAGGAGTAACGTCGACGGGTCGCATGCCGATCGTTCGATGCTTGCGCGCGTTGTACTCCGCGACGAGACGCGGTAGCTCGTCGAACCACTTGTAAGTTCCGTTGAACGTAAACATCTTCCACATGTTATTCTTTAACGTGCGATTGAATCGCTCGACGACCGACGCCTTCAACACCGAATATGTGGAATAATGATTGATGTTGTGTTTCCTCACGAGACGTTGCACGTCGGTGTTGTAAAATTCCTTCCCCATATCGGTTTGTAAGTTTTTCGGACATCTCCCGCTCTCTCGAATTATCTTGGCGATAACTTCAGCCGTCTCGCTTCCACCTTTACTCTTGAGCGGTACAGCCCACGCATACTTGCTCAGCACATCGATGACGGTGAGTATATAATGGTAACCTTTGTTGAAATGTGAGTATGGGCGCATCTCGACAATGTCAGCCTGCCACAGGTCGTCATATCCCCGAACTATGACGTGTCTTCGTGGAAAATTTCTTCTCGCTGGAGCATGCAGTTCTTCGACGAGTTGTTGCTTCTCGATATTTTTACGTCCATCGGATGTCATGTTTTTTTAACGGTGCGTAATAATATGCACAAAAAAATTATATTATGATTTATATCTCAAACTTTTTTTTTTAACAATTCAATAGCCATTTATTTCCATTCATTGTCCTTCAATAGCCGTTCTTTGTCTGCCGGTCGTTCTTTGTCCACTAGCCGTTTATAGCCATTCGCTAGCTGTTCATAGCTGTTTCTGAGTCGTTCGTTAGCCGTTTGATAGCTATTCCTGAGCCGTTCCTAAACCGTTCGTCGTTGCCGTTCATCGTCGTCCGTTAATCGTTTATAGCCGTTCCATTTGTTGCTATCCATTGTTGCTGTTGTTGTTCGTTTTTGACTCAGCGGTGGCCAAATGTCGAAGCTCGTGTATCACAATCCGTAACGCTTGCAGATCCTTCTCGAACACAGCCAGCTTCTCGTCTGACTCTTTCTGTCGATTGCTCGACATTTTAAAGCACTGATCCACGTATAGTTTGTTAACTACATCATCATCAGCTTCCGGTTGCGCCACGCGTCGAATCTTGCGCGACTTTGCATCAAAGTTGCCGGCAACCATACAAAGAGCGTTATCCCGCACGTAATTTCTGACTACTCCATTGCATTGATAGTTCGGTTGCGTCTCGCCTCGTCCGAGCGATATGCCAAACTTGTTGATCGGCATTTCAATGGTGATTGAATGGTTCGCCAACGCATGGTTTAATTTATAATAAGCCCAGCCTCGCGAAGCTCCTCGATGATCGATAGGATCTCGTTGTCGTGACCGTTGTGACCCGCTTGACGCGAAGCATCGAGCAATTGGAGACGATCCACCAGCTCGTTGGGATCGTCCCAGTGCACGTAGTCGACCTTATTGTCCGTTAGCGTCATCGCGCGAGGCATGCATAATCCCTTTCCAGATTTTTTCTTCCTGGATTCGGGAGGGAACAACGATGCGATTACATGTAAATACTTGTGCCCCCTGTGGCTCTTTATTCGCTCACGAGGATCATGCTTGAATTTATGAGCACTCGTTGCCAACAGCAGGCTCTTGTACTTTTTCATATCTCCCTCCGCGTAGATCTCGTCATCGGGCATTCTCTTGAAGATCAACTCATAAAGACCGGGTGTACCGATATATCGTATGTCATCGATAATTATCCTATCCTCGTTGTCCAACTGAAAACGTTTATTACCGAGCATCATTCCATCCTTGCCGAAATAAACGCCGTATGCGGGGTCTATATTTGGATCGGCGCTCAGAAAAGCCTTAATGTACTCTCGGCCCAGTGGACCCAACTGATCTTTCAACGTTTGTAGAAACGTTTCTCGTCCCTTCGACGTTTCCAACTGCTTTCGTACGGATGTCGCCATCGAGTCGTCTGTGGTTTCAAAAACATTCGCGTTTGTGAGGAATTTGGGAATTGTATCTTGCACGGTTCTCGCCGTCGTCGTCGACGGTATGGAGGTTATCGGTAGTACTTTCGATCGTTTCGATTGATTAGATTTATGCGGTGTCGATGAGAGATCCAACCAGGAGTTTGATAGCTTTCTCTTTTTCGATGTCGCATCCTCCCAATCCTCTTCCTCCTCCTCCTCCTCCTCCTTCTCCTCCTTCTCCTCCTTCTCCTCCTTCTCCTCCTTCTTGCGCTGCTGAAAGGGTAACGTTTCGATCCCCACGTAAGCATCGCTCTCCGTCGGCTCCTCTTTCTTCACCGAGATCGAGTTGTCTGCGATCTTTTGCAACGGTCCGATGAGAGGCTTAAAGTGTGCGTCCAACTCAATGTCTTTCACGATCTTACCGGTCTTCAAAGCGCGAAGTTTCTTACGAATCGAATCACTCGTTTTCGCAATTTCCTTCACAATCTTCTCGCGCTCGCGAATATTCTCGCTCCTGTCGATCGTGGCCATCGCGGGAAAAAGCAGACTGTTAATCTCACGTTTTAACTCGACGAGGTATCGACATCGACTGACCGCTTTTGCGGTATCGCGAACACGTTAAATTCTTTTCTGTATCGGCCGTTCGAAAGCGCGCTGTCCTTGTCTATCACTACGAACCCGTACTTGCGTTGCCAACAATCGTGGCACAACGCACAAAATTCATCGTACGACATGTCGGTATTTACGTGATCGTTGTACACGTGTTTCAGATTGGTACCATCCTGTTTGAACAGGATCAGTAGGTTCGCGTTGTCACGTATCAGATGTTTAGGTATTCTCGCGTACGTTTGACAGAGATAGAAGCAGTCGACGCTCGAGTGCCTACCCATTGAGAAGTACTCTCTCACAGCATCTTGCTTATCGCATGCCACGTCATCGAAAACGAAGATTGAGTTTGGACGCGCATCGCTCGGCGGAATGACGTCACTGTTGTTGGAAAACGTAAAATAGCCAATCTCTTCTATCGACGTTAATACATTCTCCAAGTATCGATATTTCGGTTGCTGCAACGATTTCGAGTACACATACACGTTCTCGAAACGTACACCGTGCGGACTTTCCAGCAAGCTTATCAGAACGTTGGTTTTACCGCAATTCGAGGGGCCGCAAATGATCGCGCGTATAGTAGTCGGTAGCATCGCACCGTGTCTGCGCTTCTCCGCGTTGCTCCCCATCGACCGTAACCTATCGTCGCAATTCGTCACGCGAATTGTCAACGGTTGTCGCACGAATCTCATTTTTCAGACTGTCGACTGGAGTTTCCGGCCGAACGCCTATTTATAGGTAGGCGGCACCGCGAATCGCTCAGTTGCAAAGATGTTCGTCCTGCTGACGAGACCTTCAGATATCCGCAATTTGAGTGTCGAACAGCTACAATTTGTGCCGAAACCTGTTCTGTTGCAAATGTGCTGTGATCACGTCCACTACGTGTGGGACAAGCTTCCGGAACATATAAAAACAGATTCAGAGGTTCAAACATATCGTCGCTGTTACGAGCATTACAATCAACCGTGGCAGCGAACGCACATCGACGGTCCCGCGCCATTGATAAAGGATTGCTACGAATGCCAACGAAAATAGGCAAAGGCTTATTAAATCGCGCGATTAACGCACTTCCGATCGAATTGCATATCCCCGGCTATCAGTTTTGTGGTCCGGGCACTCATTTAAAAAAACGATTAGCAAGAGGTGATCAAGGTATTAATCCATTGGACACAGCGTGTCGTGAACATGACATAGCTTATTCTCACAGTAGCGAGCTCACCGAGAGACACGCGGCGGACAAGATACTCGCCGAGAGAGCGCTAGGACGCGTCGTCGCGAAAGACTCGACTCTCTCCGAGAAAGCTGCAGCTACCGCCGTCTGGGCGGCCATGAAGGCTAAACGGAAGCTCGGAATGGGTTTGAAAATAAAGGCGAGGGCGAAGGCGAAGACGCAGACGAAGATGAAGATGAAGAAGAGAGCGGATTCGAAAAAACGGATACTTCCGGCAGCGAAACGCGGTGGTATCTTGCCCATTCTACCGTTGTTGGGAGTTCTCGGTTCGTTAGTCGGTGGAGCGGCGGGGGTCGCGAAGGCTGTGAACGATAACAAAGTCGCGCGACGTCAGCTGGAAGAACTTAAACGACA